CCCCCCCCCCCCCCCCCCCCCCCCCGCCAGCCTGCAGAATCTAAAATGCCAGAAAGTGACTTGTTCACATGGCCTTCCCCAAGCCGATGAGTGTCCTTCTCTGCCCGGAGGTAAAGGTCTCGGCTAAGCCCAGAAGGCTTCCCACCTTGAGACTCCGCATACTCCTTAGCCCCGCTGGGATACAAACGGGCTAAGACTGAGCATCTGGTATTTTGCACTGAAGATGCTGCAGTAGGGGGAAGTCGGAGGCAGAGGAAAAAGGGGAGTTAACAGTTCGCAGCCTTGTAAGGAACAAGCCCGGCCCTTTTTGGACCTAGTTCAGAAGACAGCGAAAGGCCTCGACCAGAAACTTTATCTGGGTTTGTGCACTGGCCCGCGGGCGTGGGCCGTGCGTGCGGACCCCTGGCTGCCGAGCTGTTCCGCAGACATGCCCGCGGCACCCGCCCCGGGGTGGCGCAGCGGTTCCGAAGAACCATGGCTGGCTTCTATGCCTGCCTGAAGAATCAAGAGTAAGTCGCCGGGGAGCCGATGGTGGCGGAGCGCTCGGCCGCAGCCGCTGGGGTCTCTCCCGCCCAGGGTGGGGCGCTCGTTGCCGGCGGGGCCGGCCCGGAGTCAGCCCGGGAAGCCGGGGCTCGAACCCGTCGCCCTGGGGCAGCGCGCGCCGGGAGCCGGGCGCCGGTGGACGTGGGAAAGCGGCGCGGGCCGGGGGTGGGGGGGGGGCGCGGGGGAGGGGCGCACTCTCTGCCCCCCACGGCCGCAGCACCTGGCTCACCTGAGTTGCCCCGGGCGGGCGGAGGGGCCGGGCGGGGGAGGCGGGGCGTCTCGCTGGGGCCGCTGCGGTTGTCGATTGGTCGCCTCGCAGAGGGAAGGAGGGCCGCCGCGTAGGAAAGAGACGGCCAAGCTGCAAAAGAGTTGGACCCGGGAGTACCGCTATTCCCGGGGTCCCCCACCCCGCAGGAGGCCCTACCTCTCTCCCAGAGCCAGGGTCGTCCGCAGCACCCGGGCAGCCTCCCCGGAGCACGTGACAAATGACTCGAGGGTCTGAGAAGGGACAGCAGCGCCATGAGGATGCTTCTATCCCGGGGGGCGCGCAGCCAGAGAGAGAGACGAGGGCCAAGCTACAGGTTCCCACGTGCACGTGTAATAAACGTGCGTCCCCGTCCAATAAAGCGCCCAGCGGACCGGGATTTTACAAGGCTAATTTCATTGACTAGGGACACGGCTGAAATGACCTTCGCCGTGATCATTCATTCAGTGAAATCGTGGGTTTCAGTGACACCGAAGTGTTTGGTTCTGGCCCTAGTCAGCAGCTGGCTGGGCTGAAAATTCAGATATGGGGGGCGGGTGGGTTGGGGAGACGCTGCGGCAAAAAGTGAGAGAGACAAAGACAGAGACAGGGAGAGACAGAGACAGAGAGAGACAGAGAAGAAGAAGAGAGAGGACAAAGGGAGGAAAGAGAGATGGAAAGCGCAGAATTTGGATGAATGGAGAAAAATCACTTTAACCTTTCTGAGTTGTCTTCTAAATTTTCTAAATTTAAAATTAAACATTGCACCCACAACGCGAGTGTATTTTGGGGTGTCATGTGTACTTACTGCGGACAGTGACAACAGGAAAAGATATTAAGCCAAACGGACCCACTTGTACAACTCATTAGCGGGGGTGCGAGGTACGTGATTATTCTCCAGTGCCATTCATGAAGCTGTCACTCTCTGAATCGGGGCCAGAAACTCACCTCGATCACAGCAGGTCTCCAATAGCACATGGCCCCCGCTGCTCTCTCCTCTCATGGCAAGGCACCGGACAGAGAGAGACTGGCAGCCTCTGATGTGATTTTCCAGGGTGTCCCCCTTTGGAGGTGGTTCGGGCAGGGAGGGTGGGGACACTGGCGGCCCCCTTCCGCTGTTGCCTCAAAACTGGCCCTGTAGCCTGTTCCTGTTGGGCCTGGAGTGTCTACCTGTGAAAAGTGCCTTTGGCATCTTTTTGAAAACCCCGCCTCTGGGGCTCACCTGACTGCCGTGCCCTGAGCCTCTGGCCTTGGACACACACGGTGGCAATGAGGGCATTTTCTCTACGTAATTCACTGTGGCACCAGATGACAGAGAGGTTGGCCGTGGAGGCCTTGGGAGGCGAGGGAGATGGAGCCACTGCTGTGGTAAGTGATAAAGGCAAGGTTATCGCTCCCAGGTGAGCATCGGGCCCTTCTTCCCTGGCCCGAGAGTATCAGATTCTGCTGCTTGAACCAGGGGCCTTCCCCAGGGTCCCTTCATCCCAATGTCTGCCTTCCATGGAGGGGATCCAGGGCAGCCTGAGGCCTTTGGGGTGGAAAAGCGGCCCTCATGGACCAGCGGCTCTTCCTGTCGCCCCGGCTGAAGGCCTGAGCTCATCTGACCGTTTACCGAAACGAGGCTGAAGGAACGGGAGACACCATAAGAAGGCATTTGAGGAGGTTAAGGAACCACGGTCTCTGTAAGTACGTGGATGGGAGTCCCTCAGGGGACTTAACGGGGAGAGAGACCCGTAGACCTTCGAAAACATGGCACACCTGCTCCTTGGGAAGCCGTGTGCTCAGCACTGTGGGAGGAACGTGTGCTTTCCTTTCCCACAGCCAAGCAGGCACGGTGTTTGACACAAGCATTTGGTGAAGGCGTGTTGTCCACTGAACCAAGATCCCCTTGGGAAGCTTGTCTGCTTAGGGACCGGCCAGCCCGGTAAAGGGAGGTCTGCAAGAGGTGGGGCGGGGGGTATGAGCTCAGTCCGGGAGAGGTTTCGAAATTTCTTCCAAGCTGTACAAGACGCAGCCTCCCAGCCTCCATCCCCTCAGCGCCTCCAACAAGAGGGGCTCCTAGAATCACAGCTTGGCCATATCAGGAGGGGAGCGCCCTTTCAAGGAACCCCAGTAGGCAGGACTTGGAAGTCGAAACACGGGTGGAAACACAAGTTGGTTCAGTTTTCTCTGCAGATCGCACTTGCGGTCCAGATTTTCCAGGTGTGGACGGTTATTTGATGAGTTGGAGATGTTTGTTTGTTTGTCCCCAGGGGACTGGTTTTGGTGTTTAAATTCTGAACTGGTTATGATGGATATAGTTCTTGCTTGAGGTAACTAGCCAGTAAGTCCTGTTATTTTCACAGACATGGTGTGACAGCAGGGGACGGCAGGAATTTATCAAGGGATTTGTGAATATGCTTATTGGTAGAAGGGACAAAAATACTAGTGGTCTTGAATTATGTGCCACCGTAATTATGTGCCAGTACATGAGGAGATGAAGGGAAAGCAAAAGAACTTTTTTTAAAGTGTTTTATTTATTTATTTGAGAGAGAGAGAGAGAGGGAAAGCTAGCAGAAGTGGGGGGAAGGTCAGAGGCAGAAGGAGAAGCAGACTCCCCAGTGAGCAGGGAGCCTGATGCAGGGCTCCATCCCAGGGACCCCGGGATCATAACCTGACCCGAAGGCAGGCGCTTAATCTCTTAATTGCTTAATTGACTGAGCCACCCAGGCGCTCCAAGCAAAAGAACTTTCTTAACCAGACAAGATCCTATAATGGTGGCATGGGTGAAAATGTTTTTATTTTAAGGGTGAGGATATCGGGCCCCAAAGACATTAAGTGATTCTCCTTGGGCCACACAGTCAATGGCAATTCCAAGATCAGAATCCTGAGTACCCTGACTTGCAGCATAGAGCTGTGGTGTGTAGCGTGTGCTAGAGGAAGGATCACCTTTTGAGCAGAGAACCGGAAGCATGTGCCTCCTCCTCCCCACCACCCCAGGATGCTGTGGGATCTGGCTGGGGCTGCTGCAAAGGCAGCTCGAGCCCAAGGCAAAAGAGTGAGCTAGGGCAACTTTGTTCTTGGCGACCCCAATCTCTCCAGTTACAGCCCCTTTCCCACTATGGTCCCCTTCCCACTCCAGGTGTTCTGGGCCTGAACATTGCCCTTCCCTCCCAGCCTGTCTTCTCTAAGCCTCTGTCTTCTCTAGGCTGTGAACTTCCCCTTGGCTGACTCCCTGGCATCCTTGGTTCTGGGGGCTGGATCTCAGTCAAACTGACGCGCGATGTTGGATTCCTCCTGACAATGTGCGTTTCCGTAGGATTTCAATGCTTCCATGCCACTCTGATGCTTGGCGGCCATCTCGGGGAGCTTGCCAGGGCAGTGGGCCCCTCATATAGTGCCATTCGGCTTCTCCGACTCAAGAACAGGGTTCAGGAAGGTGAGGCTTAGTGATTTGGCAACAGGCATCTGACAGCTGACCGGGGTGTAGGTATTGTAATGGATGGGCCAGCAGGCTCCCCTTGGCTGCAGACCTTCCCTGATGCAGACCTTCCCTGATGCTGCTGGAGACCAGAGGCTACAAATACTGACTTTTTATGAGTTCTAGATGCAAGGATTCAGGGGACCAATGCATTCCTTCTTTGCCCTGCGGAGGCCCCTGGCACCCAGAGGCTGGAGGAGGTCTCAACCCGCAGGTCCTTCCAGTAGCTGATGGTCTTGGAGCTGCTCCCCATCCACCTTCAACCTGTTCTCTTGTTCTCCTTCCCCTCCTCCTCCTCCTCCTTGTTTTAGAAGAAAAGCTGGGAAGTCCAGTTCCCTGGCAAGGGGCACAGCCTGGGTATTGCATTTTGCTAATCTGTGGTCCCCCTGTGAAATTTCCATTCATGGAAGCTGTAGGAGAGCTGGTAGAGTGGTGGGTTCTAGTCCCCCAGCCTCACTAGGGGCAAGTTCTTTTTTTTTTTTTTAAGATTTTATTTATTTATTTGACAGAGATCACAAGTAGGCAGAGAGGCAGGCAGAGAGAGAAAGGAGGAAGCAGGCTCCCTGCTAAGCAGAGAGCCTGATGCGGGGCTCGATCCCAGGACCCTGAGATCATGACCTGAGCCGAAGGCAGAGGCTTATCCCACTGAGCCACCAAGGCGCCCCAATATAGGTAAACTTTTTAACTCATAAAAATTCATTATGAGGAAATTGTTTTAAAGCTGTTTTTTTTTTTTTTTAAAGCTTTTGGAGATCTCTCTGAAGATGTCGTTGGCTCGGTTTATTTGGTCTTTAGCAGTGTCCTGCGTGTTCTGTTTGCTGTAGGGAGGTTGAGTTTCCTCGAGAATACACTTAAAAATGTGGAAACGTGTGTTATTTTGTCAAGAACCAAAATTTCAGCATTTTATATGAGAATGTTCAGGCGGGTGTCATTTGAAGCCTTCGAAAGTCCATTTTGTGTTGGACCAGCTTTAGCATTTGGGGGATTCTTTCGCTAATTTCTCAAGGGGCACAATTTTTTGTCGTTTGTTATTTCTGGAAATCGGTAGCCAAAATGGGGTATGTGATCTGGTCGTTCCTGTCGTTTCCTAATTGATTTGCTCCTTTAACATTCTTCTAGTTTTTTAAACCAATCCGGTTGTATCTTTCCTTTACAAATGTTTTAAAAAAATTTATTTATTTATTTTTCAGAGAGAGAGAGAGAGAGAGAGAGAGAAGGAGCACACAAGCAGGGAGAAGGAGCAGAGGCAGAGGGAGAAGCAG